GCCAGTGCTTTCGAACGAGATTAACGATGTCCCTGTAGCGAGTTCCGGAAGCAGCCGCAGGCGACAATTCGTCTTGTTTGTTCCCAACTACCAATAACGGTACGCCCCTCATGTCTCGTGCTTCGTAGATTTGATCTCGTAACATTCTAATGTGCTACGATAAATTAAATATTATATAATAAATTAAATTTATAAATTAAATTGTTTTAATATAGATGAAATGTAGATAAAAGGCAGACATAAAAATAATGGAAAATTATGGAAAACATGTATATATATTTATTATGTATACATAATATTATATTTTATAATAGATGAATATAATGAATAATGAATATATTTAATAATATAATATAATATAATATAATATAATATAAAATATTAATTACACATAGTATTATATATATATATATATGTATATTAAAATGTTAAATGCAATGATTAATTGAAAAAAATATTATAAGGAAAATCTTCATCAATTTTTTCTAAATCTGTGCATATTTTTCGTTTTTGAATGGGGAAATAAAAGAAAGTATAAAAAAGAAAGATAATCAGAACGAAGATAGAACAAAGAAAGTTTTTATCCCTATATTGAGCATAAAGAAAGGTCCATAATGAAATGGGGATAATAGTAATTGAAGTGGAAAAATTTTTAAGAGAATTCTTAAGCATAAACACATTTACTTGGAAAAAAAATATATTTGTGAAAAAGTTGGAATTAAAACAAATAAATTGTTAGCGATATAAAAAAAAATTTAATTACTTAATATTTTAAATAAAATAATTAATAAAATAATTACATTTATATTATTATCTCGAATTAAAATTATTAAAAAAATTCATTCGAAATTTTTCGAAATTTTATACTTTAGACTTTTTATACTTAAGATTCTATTAATAATGATTAATTATTATGTAAAGATTTATAGAATTAGATAAAAACATGGGTCATAAAATCATAAAATTTTAAGTGCCTCATTTTGTTCAATTTTCCGTGAGATATCATCAGTATTCAAAAAGTTATCGAGAAAATAAGATCTACGATCAAGGGATTGTCTGATAATAAAGTCTTGGTCTTGTATGAGTTAGGAACAAGGGATAATCTTATTCTTCTGATATAGTGATTTATGATATAAGATAATCTTAAGCTAAGATTAAGTTTGCACTATAAAAAAGTAATGTTCCATATCAAATTTATATATTATAACTTTGTTATATTTATTTTTATAATTACAGATTTTTCTATTTTACAAAACATTATTTTTTATAAATTAAAGAATAATACCTTTTATAAATTAATATATTACTTTTCATAAATTAAAAAAAAAATCTAATAATAAATTATTCGATCAAAATTATTTCGACCAATCAGAATTAAATTACCAAAATATACTATACAGCGTAGATATAACCAGATGGTAGGTAGTAACTAGATGGCGCGCATCCATAGTAAATTGATGATATATTTTTATACATGTATGCATACCTGAAACGTGTCCTGGTTGCTGAGATCGAATACGAGAACGTAAGCGTTCGCACTTCGTAATCCGTAATAACGAAAGTCCGTCCATTCGAGGTGCGAGCTGACCGGAAAATACGGGATCATTGGTAGATCCGTGATTTTTAGTTCATACAATCGATCGGCAAGTACCACGCTCGGATAGAAAGTCTCTCTACGTTCGGTTGGCTTGTATTCCTCGCTGAATTCGCTCCACACGAATTGCTGGAACCCATAAATGAGCACTAACACTAATGTATCTTTACGATTCGAATTTGTCGTTCTCGTTAACGGAAAATAAATGGTGAGAATTCTAGGACTTCTTGCTAACTCGACTGATTTTAAGTTTTTCGCGTAATTAACGAGTTCTTTCGAGTTAGAGCAAAATTCATCGAAAATATTTTGACATTTGACTATATACAATTTTATTTAAATTTTTTTATACATTAAATGTGTGTATGGTTTAAATAATTATTGATTTGTTTTTTCAAGATAACATATCATACTAAAAATTATTACTTTTTTGCCAATTTTATATAAAATATTCGAGAAAATGTGTTGAAAAAAATAATTATACATGATAAAATCTTTGTGTATGTATATTATGATCTTTCCTATGATGTTGAAGAATTGAAGTGCTGTTTCATGGTAATAAGAAAAAGATAAGACTCTGAAAATTGAATTATAATAAATAATAAAAAAATTTATAAATTATGAAGTAGAGGCGAATATACGGAGTTATTGTTTCAAAGTGTGCAAGATTTAGAATTCCAATATTTCCGGGATGCAATGTTGTGAGTATTTATATGTTGTTCCACTATCTCTCGCCTGTTGCATTGCTATAGTAATCGATATATTATTATCGATATATATATATATAGAAATTGTTATGAGAAAAAAAATTCTGTATATAAATTCTATCTTACGCAAATTTTAAATAATATAATCTTTAATTATCGATTAATTTTTTTTTTAAATCAATATTTGATTTAAAATACATAAAATTGAAAGTTTTTAATGTGTATATATTTTAATACATATATATTCATATCTTAAGATTATACTAGAATTTATTTAAAGAAATAATTTTCCATAATTTTGAAGAATTTTTATTTAATCGAGAAAAATTTAAAAGATTGAAATTTACTTAAAAATTTTGACATATACTTTTCACTATAATATTTTGTGTCCTCTTTTCAACGACTTTCAATTTCCTCAAGAGGCGACAGTTAACCGGAAACTGGTCCCGGAAATGAGCGGAAGTCATCCACATCTTGCAAAGTGATGTTCGTGACAATTGAACTAAAATGGTGAATCTCTTGCTAGTTTTATTGATTGCTCAATTATCGATATTGTTAAGCTCTCATAATTTTTTATAAATTTTTTTAATTTTTAATTTTTAAAATTGGAAAATTATTGCAATTTTAATGATGTTTATTTGAATTTTTTTTTTTTATTCTTGATTAGATCTTCACAATTTTTCACAATTAAATTAATTTTCTTAAACTTAAATTTATATTGTAATTTTTTTGTATTATTATTATTTTATATTTTAAAATTTCTTATATTTTTTTAAAATTCTATCAACGAAATCGTCTAGAGAATTCGTAAAAAATGTAGTCACGCATGACTTTTTTTAGTCCCTAGTGAGCTTTCATGAACATCGATCGTCGTCTTTAACCGAGCAAAGTGTTAACAAGTCACTTTTTTATTTTCAGAATCTTCCATCGATAAGAATTTTTTATTCCATTTTTATTATTTCATAAATATTTTCTATGCATTAATAAATAATCGAAAGCAATTATAAATTCATTCATAGTAATTTAATAAAATGAAAAATAATTATATATCTTGAATTGTATTAACTTATGTTATTTTAATTCAAAATATTTCAAAATAATTTCTTATGACCTTAATAATAATCGCGTCATAAAAACGTATAATCCTATAAAAATCTGTAATCAAGTATAATAAAAGATAATTTTCCTTATCAATGATCAATCATTATTGATTGCATTTACTAGAATCCACAATGAAATAAAAATAACTTTATCATTATCATCCTAACCTTATAATTAACAGAATAATATAGAAAAAAGAAAAAGTATTTCAACGTAAAAGAACAATTTTCACATAAACTAGCAA